GTTCATGGACTCATCCAAATTCAATCCGGATAGCAACGCTTCGTACTCAGCTTCATTGTTTGTTGCTGGGAAGAGGAATTTCACCGAATGACAGAATAACCGATTCTCTGGATCAGCCAAGACTATCCCTGCACCTGCTCGGTTGGCTGTTGATGAGCCATCAGTATAGAGGACCCATGATTGATTATTATAATGAACTGCGATGGCCGGGGTAAACTCGGCGATAAAGTCGGATAAGGCTTGGGCCTTGATTGCGGTCCTCGGTTGATAGTGGATATCGAATTGTCCGAGCTCAATGGCCCATTTAACCATGCGTCCCGAGGTGTCAGGTCGGTGCAAGATCTGCCGAAGTGGGTACGAAGTGCGAACAGTTATAGAATGCTCTTGGAAGTATGGTCGTAATTTCCGGGCCGCAATCACAAGGGCAAATGCCAACTTCTCCATCGGAGGATAACGTATTTCGGCATCGTGCAAGGCTTTACTGACGTAGTAGATCGGTGATTGCAGCAATCCTTCTTCGCGTATCAAAACAGCGCTAATGGCAGATTCACTAACTCCGAGGTATAAGAACAACATCTCTTCGGGTTTCGGGTTTTGCAAAGTAGGGGGAGAGATCAGCGTCTCCTTGATATTGTTAAGAGCGTTTTGGCATTCCTCAGTCCATTCAAAACGTTTTCCTTTCTTGATTGCTTCAAAAAACGGCTTACAACGATCTGTAGACTTGGAGATGAACCGGTTGAGTGCAGCAAGTCGGCCAGTTAGGGCCTGGACACCCTTGACCGAGGTTGGGGGAGTTAGATCTTGAATGGCCTTTATTTTGGCCGGATTGGCTTCTATCCCACGCTGGCTAACCATATAGCCTAGAAATTTTCCGGATTCAACTCCAAAAGTGCATTTCTTCGGATTCAGCACCATGGAATAACATCGAAGGATGGCGAACATGTCTCAAAGATGCGTTACATGATCAGAGGCGTGCACCGACTTGACAAGCATGTCATCAACATAAACTTCCATAGTGTGTCCGATCAATGTTGCGAACATTTTGTTGACAAGACGTTGATATGTTGCTCCGACATTCTTTAATCCGAATGGCATCATAGTGTAACAATACAAACCTCTGGCCGAATAGAATGAAGTATGTTCAGAGTCTTCGGGATCCATAGGAATCTGGTTGTAACCGGAGTAAGCGTCCATAAAACTCATCAACTCATGCCCCGACGTGGCGTCGACCATATAATCTATATGGGGAAGTGGATAACTGTCTTTTGGGCACGCCTTGTTGAGGTCGGAAAAATCAATACACAATCTCCACAACCCGTTACTCTTTTTAACGAGCACTGGATTTGAGACCCACGTCGGGTATTTGGCTTCCTTGATGAATTTATTGTCAACGAGTTTGTTGACTTCTTCTTCCAATGCCTTCTGACGATCCGGCCCCAATTTCCTTCTCTTTTGTACAACAGGCCGGACTGTTTGATCGAGGTTTAATTTGTGGCTAGCGACACCGGGGTCGATGCCCTTCATGTCCTCGTGCTTTCAGGCAAAGACATCAGAATTCTGCTTGAGAAACGCAATAAGTTCTGACCGAAGTGGTTCCTGAAGATGACTTCCGATACGTAATGACTTGTGGAAGACTGGTTCGTCAATATAGACTAACTCCACGTCTTCTCCAGGTTCGGCTCGATCAGGTCGACTTTTCTCTTTAAACAATGCTTTGGGATCCAACTCGTCTTCTTCAAGGAGGGGCTCTTTTCCAGGTCGGCGTCCTCGGTCTTCGGTTAACGGATCCGAGGTGGAAGCTTCACCGACGTGGTTGCTCGGTTCTTCGGTCATCGCATCGTTCGGATTGTGATGCTGTGGGGAGGTTTCATTGTCACTCGTTGAAGCTGAGTGAACTCCATGAGATGGGATGAACGTTACAAGTTGTCGAGCTTCTCTTTGATCTCCGAAGTGGGTTCCTTCTCCTCGAGTTGTCGGGAACTTTAACGCGTAGTGGAAGATAGAGACTGCGGCCCGAAGTTTGTACAACGCCGTCCTGCCGATGATGGAATTATACTCGTTATTAATATCCATAACCTTAAAAGTCTCCATAACGAGTTTGGTGACATTCTCTGAGGTGCCAAACCGGACAGGCAAAGTGATTTCTCCGATGGGTTTTGAAATACTGCCATTAAACCCCTGGATTTGATCGTTGCAAGGTCTGATCTCGGCGGGGTCAAGACCCATCTTGTCAAAAGCTTTCAGCATCAAAATACTTGAATAGGCCCCCGTGTCCACCATGACACGATGAACCGGAATACCGCATATTGGAACGGTAATGACCAGGGCGTCAGAGTGAGGATGGGCGAAATGATTTGCGTCCTCCATATTGAAAGTTATAGGGCAATTCCGATTGTTGAGAACATCTCTCAAATCGGTGGTATAAACCTGTTTACCGGAGTTGTGAGCTTGTCGGGCATACGCCTTGACCTGTCGGCGGGATAACGTACTCCGGGAGTTGTTGGTATTAACCCGATGGACAGTAATTTGCATTGGTTCAGGGGATCTATCTCGCTTACGTCCTCGGGAATTTTCAGCAGGGTCAGAACCGGAGGTCTC